TATCTATCTATCTATCTATCTATCTATCTATCTATCTATCTATCTATCTATCTATCTATCAAGTCTCTCCAGCTTTTTGTTTTATTTTTAAAGTTTTTGAGTTTGCATTTTTGTGTTCTTGAGAAGTCTGCTCTCTGGGTCCAACCATCCACACCGACCCCTTCAACGCCCTCAGCAGCACAAACACGTGTACACAAACCAGCAATTTCTTTCTGAATGAGTGTAAATGAAAAAGTCAGTAATTAAGGTCCATATAAAGTTGGTATTTATTACATCATGTATAAAGTACAGTAAAATATCACAAACATGATTATACTTTTATAGATACGATGTAGTGACAAAGTTTTTGACTTCTGGTTAGTACCGGCAGAACCTGCCTTTTTACACACGAATGTGTTGATGCAGAGCGTTGTCTTCTCAGATTTCATTTCTTTGTGTTTTAGGTACAACATTATTACACCTTTATCTGGACGTGCAGAGTCATTTCAGTGGTGCTGAGCAAGAAGGAACAGCAAATGTGTTCATGGTTTGTAGCTGAAGTTACAGAACATCCGTTAAAATTTAACTGTATTTAAAAAGTCCACATTCTGCAGGTTTACTGCCACAGATGAGTGTTGGACGATAAAATACCATGTTTAAATGACTTAAAATGTGAGCTAAATAGTACAGAGTATTGACCTGTGTGGCTAACAAGTGGCCTAATACATACATTAGGAGATCCAAATATATTATATTATATGTCTGTACAGATATATATCCTCTTTCACACCTAACAGCTACACGTCAGACAAAACCGTTCAACATGTGGAATATCTGAATTCGTGAAGCCATTTGWTTGGTCTGGTAATGGACAAAGATGGTTTGGTTTCGTCTTTGAGATAAAGACGCCTGAGCTGGACTGGATTTTTTCTGTTCTCATTGGTTTGCGGCAGACAGATTTTGACTCTGTGAGATTTTTATCGTCAATAGAGGGCAAATAGTTTYCTCTTGTAGCCCTCCATGTGAGGATTGTGCACACACTGAGCAGATCTCAGTCTGGTCCAACTCTAATCAAGTCCAGAAATGGTTTTAAGTTCAATCAAAACAGTAATTAGATCTCATAATTACGGCTTTACTTCTGCAGAGATTTAAAGATCAGTCAGGCTCTGATCTTTAAATCATTTTCTCATCCTAATGAGATAATCTTTGGTTTCCTCACTCAGGAGAGAAAACAATATGTGGATGAGTATGTTGCTGGRCTAAAATAAGGAATTTAACCCAACATAAATCCCATTTAATGTGATTTACAAATAAAATCTCTCAAACTGCATTCTTTATATTACAAATATGAAGAATCATTTTTGTTCTTGTTTATAGTAGTGTTTTTTTTTGTGATTTGACTCATGTTTAGAACAAATTTAGCTTCTTATTTCTCCATCTTCCTCCTCCAGCAGCACTTCATCAGTCCAGATGTTTGGCTTTGTTCTTATTCTCGTCAGCATCTGGATCGCGGCAAGTGCACTCATCCTCGCTGCAGTCCGCTCCAAACTGAATGACCTGTCGAAAAACAAGCAACGTTCAGGTATCAGTTTCACATATGGAGATCTGTCAGACTGCAACTTGAGTAAAAACACAAAATGTGAGTTTCTTTTCAAGAACTGCCTTTTTATTGATCTTTTGCCTTCTACAGTGAGCCATGGCAAATGTTTTTGACTGTTTATGTGTGGTTGAGTGATGTTGGTTAAAAGATTTTAATGATAAACATTGAATCGCTGATTTTGATTAATTTCTGGAGCCAACCCATTTAAAAAGGCTGCCATAATTAAGCAAACACAAAACAGTTAAATAGTAATGCAGCTAATTTTAGGGATAAATACCATTGGGTGTACAGCCGATTAACTTTTGGTGTCACCYCAAATCAAAATGGTTKCCACAACCTACTTTAGGAAACATAAAAGTGGCTATAATTCAACAAATACAAATATTGGACTAAGATTATGTTTATTAGYTGAGCTTCATCCCCAACAAGAACTCAGGGTGTGATGCATTGTGCAATATTTTTGTTTAAAGCTTTGGCATTAACTTCAATTTCCTGGTTCCCATGGGAAGATTTTAAATTGTCAGATGATTTTCAAAACCTGAGACCCCTAACACATGTTGATTGAAATCATAGATGTACCAGATTTGGTCCTACAGCTACGGCAAAGTACAACACACCACACACAAAYGGATTTCACCCACGAACATTYAGATGTCAGACTGGAAATCTTGCRAGACCTCTTGTGATCAAATGGGGAATCAGAATAAATAAACATGGCCGACRAGGAARAYGCAATGGTTATAGTTTGTGGACTATTTTTAACAAAAAGACGTCTCCGACATCCACAGGATTTTCTGGCGCACATTGGTGGTTGCTTTGTCTGCTGAATTTTGGATTTCCCTCCATGTCACCTCGCTTTCTTATTAGCTACACGTCACATTCAACAGGCTGCGAGCTYGTTTGTCCTCAAGGAAACACACACGCTGGGATAACGGGCCAGGACAATCATGTTGAATATCCACAGTTTGAGATAGGAGTGGTCCCAATGTCCTTCTGAGCCAACTAGATCACTCTTAACACACCACACACGGCAGGAATATCTCCTAAGATTATTTTTAGAGCAATCGTGATAATCAGGGCTTCCTTATACTTGTCGGAAGGCCAAAATCAGGTCAAAAATGGGCACAATTATCTTGCTGTGTGAACCAAGCATTAGAGTCAGCCCCGCCTGTCTGTTTGCAGWATATTGCATGAGCCAATGAGCAGATTTTTGCGAAAACCACAGTAACCATTGGTGGTATATCTAAAACTTGTTCACATTTTTGGGTGGCCCAATTTAAGATGACCACCACAGCTAATTGGCATTAGTCAAATGGCTATAACTAGCCCATTTTACAAATATTGAGCTAATGTTTGGTGTGGTAGTAGCTGAGAGTCATCCTCTGTACGCACTCTGAGCAAGATTTCTCACATTATATGAGACTGATGAGACTGTGTATAACCTCACTAACGAGGTTTGACCCAAATGACTGCAGCGTTTTAACGAAGGTTACGTCTTTAATACTGTGAATAAGTGGATTTGGACCAGAGCATTACAAAAAGTGTTTGGTAACACCCAGTAAGAGGGTCTTCCAGCAGAGTTGTGACATTTCAACCGTAGCAACAACCATAAAMCTGAATGGGAAAAGCAGACAATAAAAGTTACATTTGCCTGACGGTTGTGTTTGTGCTGAGAGGAAAGCACCCGTTAAAACTCGCTGCCTGTCTTCACGGTTTCAAAGAGACCCTCGATGGCTCCCAGAGGGCCGATAAAGCGCATGTCAAAGGCTTCAACGTAGCCTTTGAAAGGCAAGAAAACCCTCGTTTGGTCTTCAGGGGGGCCGAGGGAGGGAGGAAGGCACCACCGTGGAGGTGAACGGATGAACACATGTTAGGAATCAACAACACGAGGCTGCCAGCTCTCGTCTAGGAAGCGAGCCATCACCACAGGTTGCAAAATAAACTCTRGTGCCCCGTGAAGCAGTCTGTTGCAAGAAATGTAAACATTCGCTCCCAGAGAGAAGGAGTGTGGGGGGCAGCGGGGGGGAGGACAGAGAGAAAGAAAAGGGAGACGGAGGAAAAAAATGAGAGTGGGAGGTATGTAAAAGAAAACAACAATGATGGCATGCAACAGAGAGGAGTCGAGTGGGAGGTGGAAGCTTGTCAGCCTCTCTCTGCTGATTGCTTCTTCTGTTGAAGGGYGACAGGGTTGATGGCGGGGCAATCGACTCTCTGAGGACTCTCTGAGGGCTCTCAACAAGCTGCAAAAAGGCCCAGCTTTGCTCAAAATACCAGCAGTCCCATTCAGGACAAATTTGCACTCAGATGTTTTCCCCTAACAGCTCCATTTAGTTTTAAGGATGTCAGATTACGGCGAGACAGAAAAAAACAAAAACTGAATCATTCTAGCAGCCTCTGGAAGAGCTTCTTTTTGCTACATGCACAGAAACAAAATCCAAGTCTTTTTTGAGGGTGTTTGAGGGTTTAGAAGTGCACACACAGACTGCTTCATGCTTTAGYTCAGAAAAGACGTGTTTTTGAAGAACAAAAAGGTCACCTTGTCGTATGTGAGCATTTGGATCAATAAGAATTGAAAAGGAGGCAAAGAGAAACAAAACTCATTTTGTTGAATGGCAGAGAAAAAAAAAGTATGTGATGAGGGCCATGTGCAGTCAAAACTCACAATTTCTGACACCTGCGTGGTTGGCACCGCATCGAAATAACTCATCCTGAAAACAGACCCCTTAATCCTCAATTTACTCCCCAATTCCTTTCTCTCTGCTGGAGCCGCGGTGGCAGTCAGGATGCTGACACTCACGGTGGCTGAGTTCACTTCCTTGAAAACGAGCCCCGCTCATTGAGCTGTTGTTTTACAGTGGCCGAGAAAACCGCAGACCATCAGACACCTCTCTGCCCCGACACTTATACCCCCCACCTCTCTTTCCCCTGTAAAAGAGCAGTTAGTGGCAGTCTGGCAGCTCATTTATTATGACGGCAGCTACAGACTCGCTGAACTCTTTCTCCATTAGGAAGGAGCTGCCAGTGAGTCATGGCGTGCTGAGGACACGGAGGAGACAGCCGAGGCTCGGCCAACTGTAGACCAGAGGAATTATTAGGCGCGGCCCCCTGAATGAGTGTTGTGAATATGTGGTTGTACAGTAGCCAACGAGGGTATATTGGAGAGAGAGCAAAAAAAAAAAAAAGAGGAGGGTTGATGGGGAGGGGGGATACTTCCCAAACGTCCCCACAGGAGAAACGTTCTCATGAAAGCACGGAAAAATAGGAAGAAAGATGTGTTTATCCAGGAGCAGCTGAGGGAACAAGCAGCCCGCCTGACCTGCTCATTATTATTCAAACCATTTCCTTCAGCCACCCAACATGTGCACTAAACATTCAGCACAATTAGTGACACTTGATACATGTGTATATCACAGTGAGCACGAAGCAGAGAGCTTGGTTGGCCGGTAAACTGATTAAGTAAAGATAAAAAGTCCAGCATCCTAACCCCGAGTGACAAAGCYTGCAGAGGTGCAACAGCTTCATGAAAGCACCTACAGCAGCACTGAGGTGATGAAAAGCTGCTTATTTACAATCTGAGTGGAAAAGCTGGAAGGCACAAATCTCCTCTGTTGTTTTAAGTGCAGAAGACTAAAGAGGCACAGTCGCTAACAGGAGAGAGGGGAAAGTAGCAGGGATCTGTGTTTATTTGCTTAGCTGAAGTCTCCTGCGTCGCGGCACGGTGCTGGTGCCAAAGCAGACTAATTCCTACAACTGCAAACAGGAAGAATGTCCCTCTGAATCCAGCTTCAGCCGCAGAGCTTCATTTTGAGCCTAAGTTGTTGGAATCAAACCTAAAACCAAGTGGAGAAAATAAATCTGACTGTAACAGAGGGATGGAAATCAGTACCTTTTTAGTGGAGAGTGTGGACGGGCAGCAGTCTCCACCATCGTACTGGCAGTAGGCCCTGTTGTTGATAGTGTCACACCAGCCGTCTCCTCCAAAAGGCTAAAGACATGCAAAAAATAATAATAAAATAAAGCAGTGTCATAGTTCTTGAAAGTAATCATCTTCTAAGTTGTCATCATTCCGCACCCAGAATGGAAATATCTGCATTATTGGAAAGATAATATCAACATACTGCAGGAAAAAAAATTATCATGCCACTAAGACGATCAGCTGTTCAGATATTTGCATGTGCAGTAATTAGAAGTGACAACAAAAACGAGAACACCTGCATGTAAACAGAGCATTGCTACAACAGTGAACAGTGGTGTCAAAAATATTCACATTCATTCATACATGTCAACTTGTTCAGACTGTCCATAAACTACTTGGATGTTCCTCCATTTTGCTCATATATGGCCATATAGATTTTTTCAAAAACTCGGCTTTAATTTTACTTTTAGTCTCAGAGTCTGTAGGACTTAAAATGATCACTAAATAAAATTAAATAATCACCTCCCAACCCACTCTGTAGCACCACAGCAATTGTGTTGCTACAAAATCAATATTTCTCAGTCAATGCGCATCCTCGGACTGTTCCTTTCTGCGAGTAGGAGGAAGGGGTGGGATGTGTTGTGCCRCTCTGACCACTTCCTGACCACCACCACCACCCCCTGTGTGCTTGTATCATGTGAGAGTGCAATGGATTTTTGTAAAAATAATTACAAATCTTTGAAAATCAGTGCACAGGTAAACATACGAAAGGGTTGACGTGTATGTTCATTACTCAGGTAGAAGTATAAAATAGGTTTAAAACGATTTCTGTAGTAGTTGAAGGATTAGCTCAAGCTTTTGTGTAAAAGTACTGAATTTAAAGCTACTTAAAGTACAAAGGTAAAAGTAATGAAAAAGGACAAAAGTTTAGGCTGTGCCTCAGGGTTCTAAAGTACACAACCCCACCTCCCTAAAAACATTTTTCTAAATGCTATAATGACTAAACGTTGGGTTGAAGTAKTCTACTTGTTTCAGCTGCATACTGTAATATATTCTGCATTTCTGCCACAGTCATCTTTATATGAGGCTATATACATCTGCTATGTCCTGCTAGAGTGAGACATGATTTGTGTCATGTGCAGGTGTGATGGATCATACAAACCAACAGCGTGCTGAATGGTAAATGGTAAATGGACTGTACTTGTATAGCACCTTTCTACCCAACCAGGCTACTCAAAGCGCTTCACACTACAATATGTGCCCTCATTTACCCATTCACACAGCCCTCYACTAGATCTCCTGCAAAGCTAACATGTACAATCATCTATGGAGACTAATCAGTGCCAATCACATTCATACACTGATGGGACACACATCAGAGGGTTAAGTATCTTGTCCAAGGACACAACAACTGAGAGAGCTGGACAGGGGATCGAACCGGTGACCTTCCGRTTCCAGGATGACTCCCCTAACCACTCTGCCACAGCTGCCCAAATGGTGCATATTTATACTTCTCATTCAACCACAACTAAACTCTATCATATTGGATAGTTTTTTTCTATTAACTTAGAGAAACCTGAATAAAAATAGGTTGAAATGAAAAAGAAGGAAACTGCTCCTTACTTGATTTAAACATTGAGTAGAAAGTGAGATGGAGTATTAGGGCCACACTACAACATTTTTTTTTTTTTAACAATGAAAATAAAGTCATAATGTCCTGATGCACCTCAGTAATCCAGGTAGAAAAWTTWAAAWAAGGACAAGTGGACACTCAACCTAACAATAGGTCTGCAGTGCCCAGATTATCATCTATTTTTCACAGAGGGCTGAGTCATACTTGCAATAACAGCATTGTAAGAGGGGGACAACTGGACATGGAGGCCTCCACCATTGTTTAACGTTTTGTGATTTCACAAATATGGCTTCCTWTRCTCCTYTCTCAAACCAGTGTTCCTCTCTATCAATGATGAGAACATCTTCATCCCTGAAAGAGTGCAGTTTACTCTCATCTATAGGCCAGAGCAGTCASAGTCCTGACCTGATGATGTTGCTCTTCTGTGCTGGGCCATCCTTTTGAAAAATGGCTGCTTTGTTTCCCCGATGTATAACTGGTCACAGTCYTCCTGGCACTTAACAACATWCACATCATTTACTCTGTCTGTGCTGGGGGACCGGATTTTTCGGGTGAATCAGTCTTTGCCGTAATRTGTTTTGGAGTTTGAAAACTACTGAGACATCATGTTTACAGAACAAATGTCTGTTTCTCTGAAAGGAGAAAAAATCCATACTACAGTATTACATGAAAAAGTCATTTTACATAACATCCATTTTCTATTGCAGGGTCAACTCGCACCTGCTGTGGACAGCCTCTGTGTTTATGAAGGAGTAGTAGAAGTTTAAATGATGACAGTTGCATTTTACTTCTGGTTATAAAACAGCTGCTAATGTAAAACAGGACCAATRATAAACACTTAAAACCTAAATGCAAGTCTTCATGATTTTAACTGTTTGTTAAATAATAATGAGCTCTTTTTAGCTAGACTTAGCTGCATTTTAGCAAAAATTGGCACATTTTTATTTTTGGTGAATGTAGTAGGATTGGGTAATATTGGCAAAAAAAATTAATCACAATTAATTGTGGTATTTAGCCAACAACGATTAATTTGACGATGAATTCCCTGGAGGCCCTGGACACACTTATGTCCTAGTCAAATGACCAATTTAGAGGGAAACATTTGCCTTTCGTAAAAATCTGTTCCAAATTGTGTCAAAATTACAGACTTTAGGCTATACATCATTTTTTTTAATTATGTTGATAGATAAATAAATTATAGAACTTTTTTTTAATGTTCATCATATTTGAAGCAGAGAGAGGCACCAAGTGGACAGACTGGAGAAATCTCCCATCAGTCTGCCTGGTGGCATTAATCGTATTAACCGTGACGTGCCAAAAAAGTAATTGATTAATGTTTCTCTGATGATTAATTGCACACAATATGATTATACCCAACCCTAGTATGTAGGGGTCACCTCGAGTGAAATATTAAGGAAAGTGTCTTGGACCTCAGGCCTTTGATGGGCATTTAAAGGGACAAAAACTCTGTTCCACTTAGAACTTAATTTAGGCCATGACCGGTCATCTTAACCATAAAAGAGACATTCTCTTTTTTTAATCAGATAATAAACAGAATAATCTTTTTTATTTGATTTATTTTTCTCTTAACTCAAAGTTTAGATGCATTTTGATAATCCTGAAACAATGTTTGTCAAGTTACAGGACAAAAGGGAACACATCTTTTCTCACTCAGTATGATTTCAGCTGTGCATGGATTTTTCTGTGGAAATATTTTACTTAACCAAACTAACCATTATGGTTTAAGTTGATGAAACATCAATGTTTTATTTGTCTGAATTGTACTGCAAATSTTTGAGTTTGAAGTAATTCATTCTTTCAGTTAAAGAGTTTTCAGAAAATAACTAAACAGGTCATGATATGTTTGGTTCTGAAATACACAGAAGCAATAATTATGTTAGATAAGTCTGGCCTTCTATCGACTCAGGGCGGAACCAGTCTTGTTCTTTAGTAACTAACAGTTTCTGCATGAACAGTAGAAGGAGAAGGACACCCTTCCGTCAACACTAACAGCTGCTCTCCTCCAGGAGAACCAGCGAACTTGGGACTGTGTTGTTCTACCCTTTATTGCCAACGGGGAACCACATGGCCAGATACGACCAACACTTGGTGTGTCCACCAAGAGCTCAAAGCTCATAAAGCAACTTTGTCTTGACTTCCTGTGGGGAGCAAGTTTTATTTTTGGAACAGGGATCCAGTTTGGCTGAAGGAGTAACTTGTGCCTGGATGGTCCAAGCAAGTAAGGAACTGGGAATTTGCCTTGCTCACTGTTCGACCTCTCTTACTACCTGAATCGTGACTCAACGGTCAACTCACGGGTAATGCTGGCTTTGTTACTAAGTGTCGCTGGTCTGACGGACGTCGAGAGAGAGAGATACCTTGCCTCTGGTTTCCCACATTTTTAAAGATAAGATTACAAGTTAGGAACTAACTATCTTACTTTCCTCCTTTCTCTTAAACATTTACCTTGGCAAATCTAAGTCATTTGCCTCAAATGTCTGGTTTTCAAAACCTAAGCTTGACATTTGCTGTCTTTAAGTGCTGAATTGATGAACAATTAAGTTTAGATGCAATTTGAATTGTTATTGATTCTTAAACTTTTTATAGGAAATAGATTGCTCACAATTAACTGTACTGTAGTGATTTTGTTTGATTATGTAAATAAATGGTCGCATTTATTGATGGATCGAATCAAAATTCACTGAGTCACTTCATTTATTGTGTTGTCCGTTAATTTTTGCATTAAAGAAGTATTTACTGAAAATAAGAGATCCTTGCTAAAATACATCCTTATAACTTTGTTATAAGAACGTAGGGTGTAAATCCTAAAATGATTTGGGTAGTACACTACCTAAATCATTCCATTATAACTTAAAATCGTTTCTTTTAACTTTAATGATCCTTTGAAGAAACTAAGACTGTGAACAAACATTTTATTTCTCAACTTTTGAGAAAGCCTTGTTTGGTTCACACTATAAACGTTTTTTTTATTATTATTGAAACAAAACATAAAAAGCCTTAAAGTCATAAACATGAGACAATAAGAGTTTAGTAATAATGCAGTGTTTTCTACGATTAAACAGAGTTATGGCTCTAGCATAAAAACTGTCCATTTGTTCATATTTTTGGGGCCCTGTATTGACTTCAAGAGGGCAGAGTTCAAACAGCTGATGTTCTGGGTGGGATGGCTCTGCCTGAATCTGATGGGACTTTCTGATGTAATAAAATCTGTTTATTATYTATCGAGCATTTCTTTGTTATTTATCCAAGAATAAGTTGCAAATGGAACATCCTAAGCATAAATTTCCAGACCTTCCTCTTCCTAGATACCTCCTTTGGGGGCTTGCAGGTGTTCCCAAGTCATTTGAGAAATTATGTGCCCAGCGAGACCAAGATCTGCCCCAAGGTCTTTTACTGGTGAGATATGTCAAGAATG